AAGCATGCCAAATACCTTTTTAACCATCCTGTCTATATAGGATGCAGGACATTTAGGAGCATTGATATATAGCGGAATCTTGGGGTACAAGGCAATAGCTCCTTGAAAGTCACTATACAAACGGATAAGGTGGCAAAGAAGGTATATGGCACGCTTGCCTTCATCGGTCAGAGCATTGAGTATAAAAGTTGGCAAGTCATTTTGCAGCTGCATAAAACTTTGCTTTGGTCACATTTGGAATATTGCGTGCAGTTCTGGTGGTCACACAATAGGAAGTGTATGGGGGCTTTGGAGATGGAACAAAAGAGGTTCATCAGGATTTGGCCTGCATTTGAGTGCCTTATCTATAAGGGGAGGTTGGATGAACATGGATTGTTTTCACTCGAGCATCAGAGGCTGAGGAGTGACCTGATAAAGGTATAAAAAATTATGAGAGGCATGAATATTGTGGATAGTCGGAGTCTTTTTTCCAGGGTGGAAATGTCAAATACTAGGGAGCATAGGTTTAAGGTGAGACAGGGAAAGTTTAAAGATTTGTGAGGCAGGTTTATTTACAAAGAGTGGTAGGTGCCTGGAATGTGCTGACAGTAGATGTCATAGAAGCAGATATGATAGTAATGTTTAAGAGACATTTAGACAGATACTTTCAGGCAGGGAATAGAGAGATGTGGACCATGTGCAGGCAAATAGGATTAGTTTAGAATGGCATTATGGTTGCACAGACATGGTGGACCAAGGGGCCTATTCCTGTGCTGTACTATTCTAGTGCTAGGCAGCTGAAGGCATGGCTATCAGTGATAGAGCATTTGAAATTTTGGATGCTCAACAGATCAGACTGAGATAACACAGATAGCTGTGAGATTACAGCGATAGAAAGGAACTGTGTTATAGAGTGGTTTCAAACCAAAGGCGAGAATTATAAAATCAAGAGCTGCATGTCTGTGAGCCAGTGTAGATCAACAAGTACCAGGGTGATGAATGAAAATAACTTTGTATTCTGGTAGCAGAGTTTTAAGTGATCTTGTGTCTAGGAGGGTAGAATGTGGATAGCCTGTCATGCATTTGAGTAGTTAGGTCTCAAGATATCAAAGGCATAAATGAAGGTTTCAGCCGCAGTTGAACCAAAGCACAGGTTAAGCCAAGTGTTATTCTGAAAGTGGAAATGGGCAATCTTAGAGAATGCTCAGTAAGTGGTCACCTAAACTTGAGATCAAATATGACACCAATATTGTCAACACTGTGATTTAGTTTCAGACAATTGTCAAAGAGAGGGCTGGTGTCAGTAGCTACGGAACCGAGTTTGAATCAGAGACCAAAGACAATGATTTCAGTCTTCTAATTTTTAATTAATGTGATAAAATATCCCAAGGCACTTCAGAGGAGTGTTATAAAGCAAAATTTGACACTGAACTATATAAGATGATACTGGGGCAGATGGCCAAATGCTTGGTCAAAGACATGGGTATAAGAAATGTCTTAAAGTAGGGAAGAGAGGCAAAGTGGTTTAGGCAGGAAATTCTAGAGCTAGCACCTCAGCAACTAGAGTCGTAGCCACCAGGTGGTGGCAGGACTGAAATCCTGGATGCTCAAGAGGTCATAGTTATAGGGGTGATGCTGCCAAGGGATTTGAAAATAAAAATGATAATTTTAATATTGAGGTGTTGCTTTATTGTGGGTCAGTAAGCACAGAGATGATTAGTGACCAAGATTTGATATGAGTAAGGAAAAGGGCAGAGTTTTAACTCACCTCAATTTATTGAGGAGAATGTGGGAGGCCAGCCAGTAGTGGTTGGAATTGTCAAGTCCAGAAGGAAAAAAAAAGTGAGTGAGGGTTTTAGCAGTAAGTAAAGTATTATGGGCCAAGGGCTGCTGTCTCGTTGGATTGAGACAACTGTGGTAGATTTACCTGAGGGTGACCATACCTCAGGAAAGGGGAAAGGTTGAGAAGGTCGTATCTTCATGGTAACCTCAGCCAGTACAGGAACTAAATGTATGCTATTGGCATCACTCTGCGTCACAAGTCAACGATCCAGTCAACTGACCCTTCACTGGGCCTGAACTGGTAGTTCTGTTTTCTCTCCACAGATGCTGCCAAATTTGCTACATTTTACCAGCCATCTGTGTTTTTGTTTCTGACTTCCAGCATCCACAGTCTTTTTTCAAACTAGACTTATTCCTACAATGAGTCATTTGCCTTATGGGGAAAGGCTAGACAAGGTAGGCCTGAATTGTCTGGAGTTTAGAAGAGTCAGGGGTGACTTAATTGAAACATACAAGATCCTGAGAGGACTTGACCAGGCCGATGTGAAAAGAATGTCGCCTTTTGCTGGAGAATATGGAACCGAATAGAACACATTTTAAAAATAAGAGGTAATCCATGTAAGATCAAAATGAGCATTTGTTTTGTAAGGGGAGGCAATGGCCTAGTGGTATTATTGCTGGATTGCTAATCCAGAGATCCAGGTAATGTTCTGGGGAACCTGTGTACAAATCCTGCCACGGCAGCTGGTGGAATTTCAATTCGATAAATATCTGGAATTAAGAGTCTAATGATGATCATGAATCTGTTGTCAGGAACCCCATCTGGTTCACTAATGTCCTTTGGGGAAGGAAACTGCCATCCCTACCTAATATGGCCTACATGTGACACAAGACCCACAGCAATGTGGTTGACTCTTAACTGCCCTCTGGGCAATTAGGGATGGGCAATAAATGCTGCCTGGTCAGCGACACCTTCATCCTGTTAATGAATTGAAAAAAAAAATGCTTCTTTTTCCTCTCACAGGGTTGAGAGGCTTTGGAATGTCCTTCCTCAAAAGGCAGTGAATGCGGAACATTTAAAATTTTTAAGGCAGAGCTAGATCCTAAGGCAATGAAAAATTATCATGGGTGTACGGGGATGTAGAGTTGACATTAAAATCAGATTAGCCATCATCTTATTCGATGGTCATGCAGGCTTGAGGGGCCAAGTGGCCTGCTCATTCCTTGTTTGTATGAATAGCTTCAACATCTCTTCCATTTAAGCAATGTTTAAGGGCAGTACTACTGAGCAATTATCTATAGATAGGATTGGAACCAGGTGAGAGCAGGCTCCCTTCCCCCAAGTTAAATGACAATGACGAGTCATTGGAGGACGGTGGTTTAGTCAACAATGTTAGAGGCTGCAGAGAGGCCGGGAATGAGAAGAAAATATAGTTTACCACAGAAACATCGCTGAAGATTTCACATGTCTGATAAGAGCAACTTTCTTCCCAAACTGTGTGGACGCATGGCTGTGCAGCAAGAGGAAATGTAGCACATAAGGATATAGGAGGTAAAATGTTCAAGGACATTAGATAGGAAAGGGACATCGCAGAGGGAACAGGCTGGAGGGATTTTCTGAAAGGATTGGTGTCACCTTATTTGAAGGAAGAACTGCTAAGAATGTTAGACAACATTGGAATCAAGCGTGGAGATTAATTGGTCAGTACCTTAATGGAAAGAAGATAGAGAGCAGGAGGTGGGTCTGATAGACAAAATGAGCCCAAAAATAACAAAGGTGAATGGAATAGAAACTAGAGAAAAGTACTCTTTCAAGACTAGGACAGGGTCTAATGGAAAGAAAATATGTGACAGAGACAGCTGATCAGATGATCCTAATCTTAGTTGCAAAGAACTCCATGAACTTTTCACACTTATTGTTGGAGATGAAGGTGAAGGTCTGGAGAGGAGTTTAAGAAGGTGGTTTGTAGTATGAAACTAAGCTGTGGGATTTCTCTGTATTCCAGGATGAACCTGGAGTAGCAAGAAGTTCTAACAAATGAGAGAAGCTGATTGCTTTATCATCCAGGGTAAGACAGAATAACCTAGGGAGTCTGATCTTCATTTCCCAGTATCAAAATTAAACATTTAGGTATTAGCTATGGGTATTTCTCCTCTGAATTATGAGGTTGTGGGTTCAGGTTCAAACACAGAGGCCTGTACCTGTGCACTGATGGAGCGCTGCAATGTTAATGTGCTTTTTTTTTCCAAATGCGGCTAAACCAAGGCAGTTTCTAACATATTGGAGGGATTTAAACAAATCCATAGCACGATAATTAGAGAAGTGCAGGTGATTTCTCTCTGGTGTCCTGACCAACACAGTCACAGATTCATACAGCATGGAAATAGACCCTTCAGTCCAACTCATCCATGCCGAGCAGGCATCCCAATCTGATCTAGTCCCATTGACCAGCATTTGGCTCATATCCCTCTAAATCCTTCCTATTCACGTACCCAACCCAATGCCTTTTAAATGTTGTAATTGTACCTGCCTCCACCACTTCATCTGGCAGATTGTTCCATACACGCACTGTCCTCTGTGAAAAAGTTACCACACAGTTCCTTTTAAAATTTTTTCCCCACTCACCTTAAAGCTATGCCCTCTAGCTTTGGGCTCCCCCACCCCAGGAAAAAAACTTTGGTATTCACCCCATCCATGCCCCTGTTGATTTTTATAGACCTCTATAAGGTTATCCTTCAACCAGTATCACTTAAAGAGACAATCTCATCATTATCACGCCGACTGCCTTGTCTCCTGCATTCCCATACTGGCCTTCTTCAAACGTATTTAACTGGTTATAAACTGCTTTGAGACACCTGATTCCTCAAAAGGTGCTTGAGAATTGCAATTTCTTTTTGCTTGCCAGAGATGCTCAGAAAGAAGTCACCTGCTTTTTTTTAAAATAAATTAAGGGCAATTGTCTCCCTTTGGCATCAATTTCCCATGGCAGATTGAGAGGTGAAGTGGTAGATGGTTGTTGCATGTGACTGCACTGTATTGGAACGTAGTGCTCTTGATCACCTTTCACTGCTGCTTTTCTACATTTGTATACTTCTGTGGGTAGTCTTTCAAATGTTCTGGATCTATAAGGTTCAAAGGAAAGGAGCAAAACACTTTGTACTCCCTGAGAAGGGGAAAATTTTTTTATGAATCAAACACAAAACATCAATTCAAATTGAACCACAGCAAACATTCCAAATGCTCTTGACAGATACTTTATTGTGTAATAGTTTGTACACCAAGCCAGTTTGAAATAAAATCTGTCAAGTATTCAATTAAAATCACCAAAAACTAGCACCAGAGGATGAGTCATTAAATATTTCTTATACAGACATGACAGAGTTGGGATAAAGGCAACAGAAAGGTATAAATCAGAGACCAAGGCAGCGAAAGGTACAGTTTATCTTATTTAATTTTATGTTTTAAAAATATGCAGCATTATAATATGAGCAGAATACTTTCCATTTTTGCCCAAAGAGAATGGTCCCATAAAGATTCTTCTACTGATTCCATCCTTCCCTCGTCACACAGTCGTCCATTGAATTTCACTTCCCCTCCACAGAAACAGAAGAACTAGCATTCTACGAGTTGAACAAAGCAACCAACTTGAATTCAAACCTTCTCTGATAATTAAACACCCCAAGAATAATGTATCACTTTAGTTGCCATCCTTTCCTGAATATGCAGACATGAAGGGAGCAAATTATTGTATCTCTGGGGCTCCTGCTGATCTCCACTCTCACCTCTGAAATTATCACATAATACTGGGAGAAATCCTTCCAACCTGAGTAAATTCTACTGTTACCTAGGGATGGCAAATACTTGAGACAGAAGCTTCGGCTGAAATCTAAACTGTAATCTTCCCACGGTACTAGAAAACGGGTTGTAGGTTCTCCTTAATCTCTGGTCTATTGCTATCCTTTTGTTTTAATTTGCCATTTGTCTGTAGGTGCCAGTCACAGAAAGCACTTGGTGTTGCATGGGTCACCAGATTGGAACAGGTTGTAGATGCTGACCAGAGGGAACATGGTGAGTGCCCCCAACATGGAGCCCAGCTGCACCACTGCTCCACACCAGACGAGGGCACTGTGACCTTCATCACGCAGAATGATGCCGATCATCACCTTCACGTACGATAGTGTTCCAACAAATAGGATCCACGACAAGACCTGACAGGAAGACAAAGAGTGATGACGTTCAGCACAGCATGATATCAGCTGTGGCTCAGTGCAGGGCACTCCTACCCCAAAGCAGGAGACTCTACATACAAGACCCACTCTAGACACTCGAGCATATGATCCAGGCTAAAACTCCCAGTGTGGGTTTTACACTTGCAAAACTGCCATTTCTCAAATCAGGTGTTAAGTTGCCTTCCCAAGTGCTCTATAAAAAATAAGACCGAAAGAACTGCAGATGCTGTAAATCAGAAACAAAAACAGAAATTGCTGGAAAAGCTCAGCAGGTCTGGCAGTATCTGTGGAGAGAAAATCAGAGTTCAAGTTTTGGGTCCAGTGACCCTTCCTATTCCTGCTGAGCTATTCTGAGGAAGGGTCACCGGACCCAAAATGGTTAACTCTGATTTTCTCTCCACAGATGCTGTTAGACCTGCTGAGCTTTTCCAGCACCTTCTGTTTTTGTTCCCAAGCCCTCTCATTGATGACAAAATCTTGCATTTCTACAGCACCTTTAAGGTGGTAAAACATCTCAAAACACTTCAAAAGAGGGTAGCCACAGAATCAGATAGAATGGTTACAACACAGGAGGAAGCCATTCAGCCCATTGTCTCAGAGAACCATGCCCTCCCCATCTTTCCAAAGCATTGCATTTTTTCTTTTCTCAGGTAATAATCCAATTCCCCTTGAAAGCCTCAATCACCCCTGACTCCAGCACATTTTCAGGCAGTACCTTCAAATCCAAACATTTGCTGCATATAAGAGTTTCACTGTATGTCAAAAAACAGAAGTTGCTGGAAAAGCTCAGAAGGTTTGAAGAAATACAAAATCAGAGATAACGTTTCGGATCCAGTGATTGTTCCTCAACGATCAGCTCTGAGGATGGGTCACTGGACCCAAAACTGTTAACTCTGATTTCTTTTCTTCACAGATGCTGCCAGACCTGCTGGGCTTTTCCAGCAACCTCTGGTTTTGTTCCTGATTTACAGCATCCGCAGTTCTTCCGGCTTTGAACTGAAACCTCCCAACTGGCTACAAGTTCCTTCAGCCAGACTGTGACAATAACGGCCCGGCTATTATCACCATATGCCACTTAGATCGGTAAGCCTCACATGGCCAGGAATGGGAGATCATATTGGGAGTGAGACGCAGCCCAAGTGACTATATAGTTTGGGGATTTTGGAGGCAGCATGGGAATTTGGTGCAGAGGGAAAGAGATGGTTTGGATAAATTAAAACCCAGGATTGGGGACCCAACTCAAAAGAAAGAGTGACATCACAGGAAAACTGTAATTTCATTGGTTGATAATAGCTGCTAATTTGGCTATTATAGGTACTTTTGGTTTGGAGGTAAATAGGAGAAATATTAACAGATTAAAAGACAAAATAAAAAGACCAGTAGGAAATTAAAAAAAAAACAAATTAAGAGCTAAGTATATAAAATAGAGATGCAGGGTCAGGTCATGATGTGGGAGCTGGCGGACCCCACTGTGGTTCACGATGACCACATCTGGAGCAAGTTTTGGTTTCTTGAGGAACTCCGGAATTTAGCCGATAAGCTGGAGTCTGAGCTTTGAACACTACGACACATCAGGGAATGGGAGAGTTACCTGGATGTAATGTTTTAGGAGGCAGTCACACCCCTTAGATTAACTACTTTGAATTTGCTCAGTGGTCAGGGACAGAAAGGTGTGTGACTATGAGCAAGGCAGGTAGAGGCAGTCAGGAAGTAATACTGACAGAGCCTCAGCACTTGAGTATGTCTAACAGGTTTGAGATTCTTGTTCCCTGTATGGATGACAGCAGGAGCTGTGGGGAGGATGAGCAAACTGATCATAGCACCTTAGTACTGTGAACCATTCAAGAGGGGAGATTATAAAGAAATATAGCTGTAATTGGGGATAGAGACTGTTCTCCATGATCAGGATCGAGAGCCCCAAAGACTGTGTTGCCTGCCTGGTGCCTGGGTTGAGGATATCTCATCTGGGCTGCAGAGGAACTTGGAGTAGGAGGGGAAAAATCCAGTTGTCATGGCCCACGTTTGTACCAGCAATATAGATGGAAAGAGGTTCTGCTGAGGGAATATGAGCAGCTAGAGGCTAAATTGAAAAGCAGAAACAAAGCGGTAATAATCTTCCAGCTAACTGAGGGCGGTACGGTGGCTCAGTGGTTAGCACTGCTGCTTCACATTGTCAGGGACCCAGGTTCGATTCCACCCTCAGGCAACTGTCTGTGTGGAGTTTGCACATTCTCCCTGCGTCTGTATGGGTTTCCTCCGAGTTCTCCAGTTTCTCCCACAGGTCAAAGATGTATAGGCTAGGTGGATATGCTATTGGCCATGCTAAATTGCCCATAGTGTTCAGGGTTGTGTAGATTTGGTGGGTTATAGGGGGTTAGGTCTGAATGGGATGCTCTGAGGGTTAGTGTGGACTTGTTGGGCCGAAGGGCCTGTTTCTGCACTGTAGGGATTCTACGAACTAACGGTTCAGCAGATTAAAGAGTCAGTGCATGGCTCAAAGATTGGTGTGGGAGAAATGGATTCGAATTTGCAGGACATTGGCATCACTATTGGGAAAGGAGGGAGCTGTCCCAATGGGATGGGCTCCACCTGAATCATGCTGAGACCAGCTTCCTGATGAACAGGGAGAGAAGACAGGAGAATGGGGTTGAGAAATATATCAGCCATGATCAAATGGTAGAGCAGACTTAAAAGGGCTGAATGGCCTCATTCTGCTCCTGTATCTTATGGGCTTATAGATCTGTCACCAATCTCTTCTAGCACTTTTCACTCCTCTTCTTCCTCTCATTTACTGTAAAATTTTTCTCACTAAGGTATCTTCCCTATTTTCTTCCCTCAGTCTCCACACCAGATGAGCTGTCATGCTCAGTGAATTCTTGTACCGCTGCAGTCCTTCAGGTATCTAATCACAGTCAGAGTCATTCCTGCAACGGCTGCTCTTCTGACCATTGAGCAGAAAATGCAGGAAGAGACACAGCATGGTCACTGTCATTAATGTACCCCATCCTTGGGAGCTTTGCTCAGCCAGTGTCAGAGGGTCTTGAGCGCAGGGAGAGAGGCTACATCAAAACACAAGCTTATATCATCAAGCAGCAAACATCAAGATGAACTCAATAACAAATGTCATGAAGGGCCCACCAAGAAGTAGTTCTGAACTCAAAATGTTTACTCTGTTTCTCTCTCCACAGATGCTGCCAGCCCTGCTGAACTTCTCCATCACTTTCTGTTTTTATTTCAGATTTCCAGCAGCTGCAATTTTTTGTTTTATTATAACAAACAGTCACGTAATTGGATTAAGATAATATTGAATGTTCAATTCAGAGATTATTAATCTGCATAAATGGCAAATGAAATCTTTAATGGAGTTTTAATGGATCAAGGCAAAGAAGTAGTCAAGTATTTATTTTCAGTCAAGATGCAAAGGCCCAAACTACAGAGCTCCTAGAGCTGAGGAATATCGTATAAACACTTAAAGCCAAGCACAAAATGGAGCTGGAAGATTTTCAAATTAAGCAAGATTGGAGAAGTCTAAGCAAATTAAAAAGACTGCCAAAAACCAGCCCAGCTCGTTCCCGCCTCCCTAACCTGTCCTTCCTCCCACCTATCCCCTCCTCCCACCTCAAGCCGCACCCCCATCTCCTACCTACTAACCTCATCCCGCCCCCTTGACCTGTCCGTCCTCCCTGGACTGACCTATCCCCTCCCTAACTCCCCACCTACACTCACCTTTACTGGCTCCATCCCCGCCTCTTTGACCTGTCTGTTTCCTCTCCACCTATCTTCTCCTTTATCCATCTTCTATCCGCCTTTCCCCCTCTCTCCCTATTTATTTCAGAGTCCCCTTCCCCTCCCCCATTTCTGAAGAAGGGTCTAGGCCCGAAACGTCAGCTTTCCTGCTCCTCTGATGCTGCTTGGCCTGCTGTGTTCATCCAGCTCTACACCTTGTTATCTCAGATTCTCCAGCATCGGCAGTTCCTACTATCACCACCAAACTAAATATCCAAGTATTAGGAGTCACACAGCACCGTTAAGCCTCAGAGACTGCAAAAATGCTTTCTTCAGGAAAGCAAATGTTTGCAGTAAAATGATAAGGTAACTGTCTACATTCCAAAGTGACTACCCTTCTATAAAAGAAATACCATTTGTTGTTCACTGTTTTGGAACACCCTGTGGTGGTAAAAGGAGCTATAGAAATGCAAAATGTTTCTTTTTGAGGCTGATTTTAGATTTCAGGAGTTTCAGAACTTCAAAATTAATGTAAAACATAACTCACTATGACAACACTGCCAGCCTGACTCTGAACCAGCCAGGGGCATGGGCTCAGGACTGCCATGACCATGATGTAGGATCCCATGCCAGTGCCAGTTAATGTCAGAAATCCCATAAACGTCAGCGATCTGAAATGGAAAACACAAAACAATAACATAACCCAGTGAGACAGTCACAGCATTCTAAGAGAGGTATTAGTCTACTGGTATTTTTAGTAGGCTATTCATCCAGAAATCTAGCCTAATGTCTAGGTTCTGAGGAAGGGTCACCGGACCCGAAACATTAACTCTGTTTTTTCTACACAGATGCTGCCAGGCCTGCTGAGCTTTTCCAGCAACTTCTGTTTTCGTTCCTGATGTCCAGGAGCCCAGGTTCAAATCCTGTCAAGGCAGATGGTGGAATTTGAAATCAATTTTTTTTCCAAAATCGGGAATTAGGAGTCTAATGATGACTATGAAACTGCTGTGGATTGTTTGGAAAACCCTTCTGGTTCACTAATGTCCTTTGGGGAAGGAAACTGCTGTTCTGGACTATATGTGACTCCAGACCCAAGGCAATGATTCTCAAATGTCCTTGGGCAATTAGGGATGGACAATAAGTGCCAGCCAGCATCACCCACATCCTGTAAAAAAATTCAAAAACTGGGATAAGTGGATGGCAGTCTGTCATCTGCCAACCTGCACTGGGTTACTCAGCTCCGAGGTGTACCTGTCCTTTCTGTCAGGAGGACTCTTGACATCCCACATGGAGATCAGGTGATCACATCCTATCACTTTGGGGTTCCAAGTGTTTTTGCAGAGAATAATTTTGACTAAAAACATCCTATTTTCACTGAATGAGTTCAAGGACTCTGGAGGCAGCGGAATATTCTCCAGCTCACCTGATCTTTAGGCTGGAGAGAGTAAGCAATGCAGAGGGAGTGGGGTGCTCAATGACAGAGTACCTTGGTCAGACCCCAGCTGGACTAACTGCATCCAGCTTAGGCCCTACAACTCAGGAACATAGAAAGTTTTGGAGTGGGTGCAGGGAAAATTGTTGTTAAAAAAGATATATTTGGTCATGGGATGTGGGTATCACTGGCTGTGCCATCATTGTTGCACGTTAGGATTATAAGAATTATTCAAGGACTAAATCATGAGAAAGGGTTGAGGGGCGGATTTGATCAAAGAGGTTAAAATGTTTAGGACTCAACAACGTCAACACAGAGAAACCTACTGATCCATCCCCCACTCACACTTCAGAAAATAAGATCACAGTGCTGTGTTCTTCCTCCCAGCTCACAAGCAGGAGCTGAAACAGGAGGATTCTTCACAAAAGGAAGTACAATGCTGGTCCGAGGCTGTGGAAGACCGTCTCAGCGACTGCATCGGTGGACTGGACCGTGTTCAGGTACTCAGTAGAAAACCCACGGGTAGGTTACCACCATCACGGATTTCATGAGCAAATGCGCAGAGGATGGTGTACCAAAGCAGGTCAATCCTAGTGTTCCCCAACCGTAAACCTTGGATGAACCAGGAAATCCACTCCTTACTGAAAACCAGACGTGCAGCACTCAGGTCAGCTGACCCAGACTAATGCAAGAAATCCAGATATGACCTCTGCAAAGCCATCAGGGAGGCTAAGAGGCAGTACCGGACAAGTTAGAGGCCCAAACCTACCAAATAGACTCCCGCTGCCTACAGTGAGGCCTAAACAACATTAGGAGATTCAAAATGAAGCGGAGCAAGATGGCAGACAAAGGCACATCTCTCCCTCATACGCTCAATGCTTCCTATGTTGGGTTTGAGCAGAATGCCAGCGGGTGTGGTGATGTCTGCCCCGACAGCCCCGGACACAACTGTTCCCTCTGTCGCCTGAGTCAACCCAAGGAAAGCGGTGGGCCCGGACGGTGTTCCCGGCCGAACACTCAAATCCTGTGCGGACCACCTGGCAGAGGTATTCACCAACATCTTCAACCTCTCCCTCCTACAAGCCAAAATCCCCTCCTGCTTCAAGAACACCACCATCATTCCTGTACCTAAGAAAGCACACGCAATGTACCTAAATGACTATCACCCAGTGGCTCTAACTTTCTATAATCATGAAGTGCTTCAAGAGGCTGGTCATGGCCCACATCAACTCCAGTCTCCCAGCCTGTCTTGACCCCCTACAGTTTGCCTCCCAATGTAACAGGTCCACAGCGGATGCCGTATCCCTAGCCCTGCACTCATCGCTGGAACATCTGGACAACAAAGACACCTACGTCAGACTCCTGTGAGTTGACTCCATTTTCAACACCTTTATCCCCTGCAGACTGATCTCAAAACTCTGAGACCTAGGTCTTGAGGATGCACTCTCTGCTTTCCGACCCACAGACTGCAATCAGTGAGGATAGGTAACTGCACCTTGTCCACAATAACTGGAGCTCCCCGAGGATGCGTTCTCAGCCCCCTACTGAACTCACTGTACACCCACAACTGTGTCGCCAAATTCTGAATGAACGTCGTCTACAGGTCCGCTGACGACACCTCCATATGGGACTGATATCTAACAACAACGTGTCAAAATACAGAAGGGCGATAGAGGGCTTGGTGGTGTGGTGCAATGAAAACAACCTTTCTCTCAACATCGGCAAAACTACAGAACTGATCATTGACTTCAGAAAGAAAGGAGGAGAACACGGCCCTGTCTACATCAATGGAACTGAGGTTGAGAGGGTAGAGATCATCAAGTTCCTTCGAGTGACAATAACTGACAACCTGTCCTGGTTTTACCACAAAGATGTGACAGTGAAGAAGGCACAACAATGCCTCTTCTCTATCAGGCGGTTCAGGAAATTTGACATGTCCATAAGGTCCCTCACCAACTTCTACAGATGTACTATTGAAAGCATACTGTCCGGGTGCATAACGGCCTGGTACGGCAACTGCTCTGCCCAGGACTGTAAGAAACTACAGAAGGTCGTGTACAGCCCAGGCCATCACAGAAGCCAACCTTCCATCCATGGACGCTATTTACACAGCTTGCTGCCACAGAAAGGCTGCCAACATTAAAGACCCATCGCACCCCGGTAATGCTCTCCTACAATCTTTTCAGTCAGGCAGAAGATACAGAAGCCTGAACACACGCACGAGCAGGTTCAGGAACAGCTTCTTCTTGGCCATTATTAGACTGATGAATGGACTCCCTACCCTCAAATAATGCTGATCTTGCTCACATTGATCTCGCCTGACGCAAGCGCTGTGCAATGTAACCTGTTTACCTCTTAAGTCTTTTTGATCTGTACATCCTTGCTTACAATGATCTGCCTGTACTGCTCATAAACAAAGCTTTTCACTGTATTTACATACATGTGACAATAAATCAAATCAAACAATCAGATCAACAACGACCCAATGCGTAGAATCAAAACGCCAAATCATTTAGCCCTGCTCTTCATAATATATTCATATGGGGACGTAACAGTAAAAGCACTCTGATTTGGTTCCAGATCATTTTATTTCCATACCCAACTACAGGCAATTGTACAACTGGTCAGTATGGTGTAGAACCTCTGCACTCATCTGAGGAGTGGTGACCCCAGGTTAAACTGCCACTAGTCATCTCCCTCTGTAATGAGAAAGCACTTCCAGTCCTATGGTCTGGCAGGACTATGGTGACTTTACCTTTATCTGACTAATGACTACTATCATATATCTGCACACACCAGCTCCATGGAAGTAAGCAAATGAAGGCATAAGTGACGTCAAAATGACCTGCAGTTCCAGTTACTACCACAGGAAGGCGATCATGAGCTTTGATTCCTTGCAGCGCATGGTTGCTGCCCCCTCATGGAGGAGGAATAGCATTGTCATAGCGGGCAGTACAGTAACAAACCTGTATTAGCATTAGCATTAGCATTTTTGAAGAAGGGTCTAGGCCCGAAACGTCAGCCTTCCTGCCCCTAACATGCTGCTTGGCCTGCTGTGTTCATCCAGCTCTACACCTTGTTATCTCAGACTCTCCAGCATCTGCAGTTCCTACTATCCCTGTATTAGCATAGCAATGTTAATACAGTAACTATGTGAAAGAACGGCTTAGATAAACCCTCCGAGATGAAGTTGGGGAAGGGATTGGAGGGCAGTGTGATTAAGAATTTTAAGTCAGCTAATATTTTGCTTTCTCGGTGGGTTTCAAGGCCTGCGAATGTTCCTCAGGACATCCCATTAACATTTTTTAAATCAGGCACTCGCAGTGCAATTAGAAGCCTGATTTAGATACAATCGCTGCCATTTCTGTTGGCTAAGCTTCAAGAAATATGGCAGTGAAAGCCAAGTAGAACAGCTGGGTCTACACGTGAAGTGCCTTTTACAGCACTCCTCATGGGCCAGCAGGAGAGACCGGATGAGAACAACATGGGTTTAAAACAAAATGCTGTGTTCGTCCAGCCCTGCACCTTGTTGTCTCTCATTCCTCTCCTCAATTCTTGTTCTTCAGTCACCTTAGGAAATGGTTGTTAAAACGCAATGAATTAACAATTAATGTCTGAATGGTCAATATTGCTTGGACGAAACGAAAAGGGTCAGAGATGGGTTTTCCAGATCATTTCTTTCTTTGGGTCTGAAATTCCTTTTCTGAAATTTTTATGCCTCCACCAAAGGATTTCATGGCTTCATACCAAAAGGGTGGGGGAGGATGGGGTGAGTGTTGGGGAAACACTGTCAGTTAGCAGGTAGCAAATGTCCACTCATAGAGTCAGAGTCACACAGCACGGAAACAGACTCTTCGGCCCAACTAGCCCATGCCGAACATAATCTCAAACTAAACTAGTCCGCAATAAACAACTGCACCTCCCAGTCACGAACCATTTCAACTCCCCCTCCCATTCCTCAGACGACATGTCCATCCTGGGCCTCCTGCAGTGCCACAACAATGCCACCCGAAGGTTGCAGGAACAGCAACTCATATTCCGCTTGGGAACCCTGCAGCCCAATGGTATCAATGTGGATTTCACAAGCTTCAAAATCTCCCCCCCTCCACCGCATCCCAAAACCAGTTCAGCTCGTCCCTGCCTCCCTAACCTGTTCTTCCTCCCACCTATCCCCTTCTCCCACCTCAAGCCACACCCCCATCTCCTACCTACTAACCTCATCCCGCCCCCTTGACCTGTCCGTCCTCCCTGGACTGATCTATCCCCTCCCTAACTCCCCACCTACACTCACCTTTACTGGCTCCATCCCCGCCTCTTCGACCTGTTTGTTTCCTCTCCACCTATCCTCTCCTCTATCCATCTTCTATCTGCCTCCCACTCTCTCCCTATTTATTTCAGAACCTCCTTCCCCTCCCCCTTTTCTGATGAAGGGTCTAGGCCCGAAACATCAGCCTTTCTGCTCCTATGATGCTGCTTGGCCTGCCGTGTTCATCCAGCCCTGCACCTTGTTGTCTCGGATTCTCCAGCATCTGCAGTTCCTACTATCTCTAGTCCCACTTTCCTGTTCCTGGTCCATATTCCTCCAAACCTTTCCAATTCACGTAGTTATCTAAGTGTATTTTAAATGTTGTAACTGTGCCCCTTCCATGACTTCCTCAGAAAGTTCATTCCATACGGGAACGACTCTCTGTGTAAAAAATAATGCCCCTGTCTTTTCTAAATCTCTCTCCTCTCACTTTAAAAATATGTCCCCGAGACTTGAAATCCTCCATCCTAGGGAAAAGACACCTACCATTAACTCTATCTGTGTCCCTCATGATTTTATAAACTTCTATTTGGTTGCCTCTCAACCTCCAATGCTCCAGTGAAAAAAAGTTCCAACCTAACCAAGCTTTCTTCATAACTCAAACCTTCCATGTCAGACAACAACCTAGTAAATCTCATCTGAACCCTCTCCAGTTTAATAACATCCTTCCTGTAGCAGGATGCTCCCGGTGTCATGGTGGTGAAACTTTATCGATGGACTATGCGATGCTTTCCTGCCCATTAGCTTTGAACATTTGCAGCCCAGATACCATGCACTAAAATGGGATTTTTGGAAAGTCATCAATAAATCTGGTCTTTTGTGAGCTAACAACAGGAACAGCCACAAAATAATGTTGTAAAATTCAGCAGTGGGGGCCTGCCTGGCCAAGGTATGACTCTGCACCAATAGATAGTGTCGGACTCTTAATGCTTCCCATCTCAAGATGGAAACTGGTGTAGCGTGTATTTCAATACAGATGTTAACAGGAACAGCAGCTTACCGGTTTGTGTAGAACATGGCAATAAAACAGGCCAGTGGGTTGGCCATGGCTCCAAGGGCAGCAGACAAATGATAGGCCAAATTCCCATATGGTAGACATGAGTAGGACTGGACAGAAGGCAGGACAGCATTGGTCAGTGCGTTCACCCATCCCAGGACTAGGAAGATCAGGACCATCTCCGAGCATGAGTACTTCCCAGTCCCAAAATTGACTTTCACCTTGGCTTCATGTTGATTGTCTGAAGGACTGATCATGGGCCTCTGTTCTGCCACCTCCATTTTGTTCAACTCTGCCCCTCCATTGGCAGCCTCTGTCTGTTTAACGTATTTGCTGGTTGCTCGCTGGTGACGGGACTGTGGGAGATAGTTGAGGAGAATAAACGCCACCAAGCAAAGCGCCATGACACCGCTGAGGAAAAAGAAGAAAACCTCTGGTGGAAAGTTGGCTGGCTGGTAGTGAGCTACAACACTGTAATTGTTGCTGCCATCACCAGTCAAGTTTGACGACACATTGCCAGTTGTGCTTTTGGTGGTGTTGACGCAGCTAACAACTCCGACACCTTGGCCTAATGCGACAAGGCCTGGGACCAGTCCGCTGAGGCCCTCCCCGATGAAATAACTGGTCAGATACTTGGGCTGCAGGCGGGTCATGAAGGGCAGGAAGGTCACTGAAGATGTACAGTCCACCAATGAGAGGAAAAACGCCAAAACTAGGAGTGCCACGCTGTGCACTGCACCAGCAAACATGCTTGTCACTTTCCAGAAGAAAGGCAATAGAAAGGAAGCCACAATGCCTAAGCTGACAATAGCATAGATCACACCGGACTCATTCAGCTTTCTGGGTGAGAACTTGTGCATCAATGTGACAAACAAAGGCCCCACATTAGCAAACTGGATGATGATGGTGAGGTAGGAAGGGAGGTACCAGCCCTCGGGTATTTCTGGCACAATGAGAGGTAATTCTACCCAGAGGCCGTTGATCGCTATCCAGGACCCCATTCCAAAAACAGCAGCCAATATGTGGATGATCAATGCCATGGTAATGGTTGGGTTCGTCAATTACTCAAAAGACCTGTAATGGTGTCTGTCCCGTTGCCAAAGCTCTCCTTCAAAAAACAAAAGAGAAAACAAACAAAGTCAGTCAAGTGTTGAGTTGATGAGGTGTACCAAGAGTAAACAAATGAAAATTGGACTATTTATGATTATTAGCTCTAAGAATAAGTCACTTTTCTATCCTGGGTGTCCAGCAACAGCAAGCATTCCCTGGGTCAGGCAGAACACAATCAAATATCGAGCCAGGTTTTTTTCTGTTGGTTCCAAAAACATGTTTTAACTCTATTCCCTTCACCCCCACCCGCTACAGAGATTGCCCCATTTTCCAAGTTTAACAATTGCTTAGAAATTGCTGTATAGGTATTGATGAGTTCACAACATTGCCAATATTACTCTAAAAGAAATAATAATTTGTTAAGTGGAGATGTGCTGAACTATTCACACTGGTAGCTTCAACAAAAAGAAAAATATTACCATTGTAGGGCTGGTAAGTCCCATCAAGATCCCCACTGATGATGTGATTTACAGACCCTGGAACAAAACTCAACTTTTGAGACTCAGAGAGGGGAAATAAACATGGTGGGATTCCCACTCCAGTTGGCAGTGACTATTTTCCAATTGCGCACATACAGACTAAATCACAGAACATGATCAATCACAGATACCCTCCCTCCCTCCAGTAGGGGGGTGTCACTTGATTACAATCAAAATGGGAGTTCTTTTTTCCCTCCAAGATGCTGAGGTCAACAACAGTATCATGTATGAAATCACACCCACCTCTGCAGAGACCACGCATTGAAGTCATATACTTATAACAACTGAGACAGATACACAACAGGATATTGAGCTTCTCCACTCTACACTGACATTCATTATGACTGATGTTTGACTTTGACTCCATCCAATTCCCATATCCTTGAATTTCCTTATAGTCAAAGAAATCTATTGATCTCAACCTTGAACACACTAAACGACCAAGCATCCATAAGTATCTGGGGAAGATAACTGCAAAGATTCACAATCCTCCAAGAAAACAGATTTCTCTTCGTTTTACTCCTAGCTGACTGATTCCTTACTCTGAGACTGTGATCCCAAGTCCTTGACTCTCCAATCGGGGAAAACAGACCCTGAAGAGCAATCTATGAATTTTATGGGGTTCAATGAGACCAAACCGCAGTCCACAAACCTCCAAAGAATAGAAGTTCATTTCAATTCAATCGCTCATTGCAGGACATGTCTCATGCCAAGAATCAACAGAGTGAACCCTTGCTGCACTCCTTCCTTAGTTAAGGAGATCTGCTATTCCCTCTCCAAGATGCATTACCTGAAACAAAATGCTTCATCACAGAAACATGCAAAACCTCTACTGAGATGACAAACTAGAACATGTTGAAATGTGGACATTACAAGAGTTAATTACACACATACATAGACATGCACTGACGCACATGCATGGACAATCACTGGCACTGACACAGGCAAAGCTGCAATTAATTAATAAAATTTATAGGGATTCTGCCGACTTTTTCATTCCCTCCACATTTACCCTTCCCCTCATAACACTAACCTTTCAACTGTGGTCAGGTTTGAAAAACAACTCTTCTTCCCTACATGAACAATGTCAACTGATTTAGCTCTGTCACTTTAACAAAACAATAAATATTACCGCTGTTTCTACGCTTTGAATAAATATACAATAATCTTAAGAAAATAAAACTAATCACTACTTATTGTGCCATTGCCTTCCTCCTAATTCTTCTCTATTTAAATTTTAAATCCTTAAATTTTTTTACAATCTTCTCCAATTCTCATTCCCCTTCAATTTTTGAAGCTTTATATTTCTAATAATCTGCCCCTCCTTTGTATTTCTAAGGATCAAATCATAGAATTTTACAGAACACAAGGTTTGGTTCTTCAAGCTGGTTCTTTGAAAGAGTAATCAATGAAATGCATTGTCTCTTTTTTCCCATAGCCCTCCAAATGCTTCCTTTTGAAATTCCCCTTTCAATCTTCTTCTATTATCCATTCAGGCAGTGTAATCCAGATTATGACAACTCACTGTCTAAATAAAACATTCTCCTCACCTTGCCCCAGGTACTTTTGCAAATTATCATAAAAGGAACAGGTTGTTTTACCTCACAAACACACCACCCTCCCACCCCAGCCAGTTCAACAGCTCCCAGATTAATAAACAAATCTGTGCCTTTAAGAGAGAAAGAATTGCCCTCACCCCAAATAAATCCCTGACGATTACAGCCTTTCTCCAAGCCACAGTCTCTTGAGCCAGATATCAAATAAATGGAAGATTCAGGGACAGAGACATCGCCACTGCACAACAGCCTATCCCTGAACCAATCGAAGTGAGAGGGAAAGCTAGCCTCCCCTTAGCCCTCCAACAACCGAGGCCAAACCAGATGCACTTACTGTACCAGCAACAAGGTTACACAATCATTCCAAGGATACATATCTTCAGTAACACTAATAACACACTGATACAAATGTAACAAACTTCATAATATGTTGATCAAAAAAATCCTTGAAAACTGCAGCATGTTCAGTTTCAGGAGACTGGGTGAAAGGAACATGTTCTTCACCGCCCGTCTGTAAGGAAAACACGTCTCAGAGCGAGCTCATGTATAATCATTCATCTACTTCAGAATGCTCACTGCTTCTGTCAGATTTGATATGAATCAGCGGTTTAATGAATGTCTAATTTATCCTCACCATTTGTATCAGTAAGCCCAATTTAGTTCTGCTGTCCTTCATATTACGGATTTTTGTAGATTATCATTGAGTGACCACCCATATCCCTTTCCTCCTGCAAGTTTACCTCAGCTAGGTCCCAGGTTCAAGTCCACATTGAACTCCCTCCAGGAGCTGGTGAATTCCCTGTGTGATTTTATTTTTAAGAGCATAACCTGTGGGTTTGAATATTGCTGCAAAAGAGCATTTTGACAAAGATGTTCATCTTGCTCTCAATTTGCAAAAAATGCCAAACTAAAGGGAAAACAACATTTATACTCATGCATTGTCCTGATGAGTGAAAGTGGGTCTTACGTCAGCGACATTCAAATTCTGTACCATCAAAAGATATGGGTTAATTTTTTCTTTAATTCATTTATGTTCTTTGGGAACCTGAAGTTAATCTTTCTGTTAATTGTTTATTTCTGTCAGGCATTACATGTTTTCTGTTATGAAGGCTATAGGAACAAGAGGTAGCCACTCAGTCCTTCAAAACTGGTGTTCAATTGTATCATAGTTGGTGTTTACTAACTCTGTCTACTGCCTTGCTTTTATAACCCTAATATCTTCAGAAGAGTTTTACTTGTTATCACATGGCATTCAGTGAGAGCTTGCCAATTGGATATAAAATTGGCTTGACAGTAGGAGACAGAGGGTGGTGGTGGTGGGTCATTTATTAGACTGGAGGCCTGTGACTGGCAATGTTCTGCAAGGGTCAGTGCTGGGTCCACCTTTGTTTGTAATTTACATAAACAATTTGGATAAGAATTTAGGAGGCCTGGTTAGTAAATTTGCAGGTGACACCAAAATTGGTGGTATAGTCAACAGTGAAGAAGGTTATCTAAGAGTACAAAGGGCTTGTGATCAATTGGGCCAGTGGGCTGAGGGGTGGCAGATGGAGTTTAATTTGGATAAATTACATTTTGGATAACAAAAAATAGCAGGGCGTATATTGTTAATGGTAGGGTGCTAGGTAGCGTTGTCAAAGAGAGAGACCTAGGGGTACAGGTATATAATTCTTTGAAGTTTGGATCACAAATGGACAATGTGGTTAAGAAGGTGTTTAGCACACTTGCCTTCATTGCTCAGACCATTGAGGATAAGAGTTGGGAAGTCATGTTGACCTAATACTGGATGTTGGTAAGGCTTCTTCTAGATTACTGTGTATAGTTCTGGTCACCCTGCTATAGAGGGATATTATTAAATTGGAGAGAATTCAGAAAAAATTTACTAGGATGTTGCTGGGCCTGGAGGGTTTGAGTTATAAGGACAGCCTGGATTGGCTGAGACTTTCACCACTGGAATGTAGGAGGTTGAAATGATCTTGTAGAGGTTTATAAAATCATGGGGGTTGTAGATAAGGTGAATAGCAGTGGTTTTTTCCCTAGGGTGGGAAAGTTCAAAACTAGGATGTATATTTTTAAGGTGAGAGGAGACAGATTTAAAAGGGACCTGAGGGACAACTTTCACACAGAGGGTGGTTGTGTGTGGAATGAAATGTTGACTTTCCTGTTCCTTTGATGCTGTCTGACCTACTGTGCTTTTCCAGGCATAAGAGTAGGGAAGTCTTACTGCAACTGTATATCGAGCTGGTAAGACCATATCTGGAGTACACAGCAGTTTTGGTTCCCTTATTTAAGGAATGGTATAATTTTATTGGAGGTAATTCAAAGAAAATACACAAAGATGAACCCTGGTATAAAAGAACTGTCTTATGAGCAAAGGCTAAACAGGTTGGGATTCTATTTCCTAGAGTTTAGAAGAATGAGATGTGATCTCATTGAAACATGTAGGATTTTTGAGGAGCTTGACAGGGTAAATGCTGAGAGGATATTTCCCCTCATGGGAGAGTCAAGGACCAGAGGGTATAGTCTCAGAATAAAGGGGTGCCCGTTTAAGGCTGAGATGAGGGGGAATTTCTTCTGTCAAAGGATTGAAAGTCCTTGGAACTCCTTACCATCTAGAACTATGGGACAGAATCCTTGTGTCTATTTACAGCTGAAATCAATAGGTTAGGGGAATCAAGGGTTAAAAGGAAAGGGCAGGAAAGTGGATGTGAGGAATGAGAGATCAGCCTGTATTTTCTCAAATTTTGAAGAGTTAGAGATGATCACATTGAGACTTTCAACATTCTTAAACAGGGCATGACAGGGTGAATGTAGGTAGAACATTTCTCACTCCCCACCAACCCCCTCCCCCCTCCACAATCAGCCACTATTGAAATGAATGGTGAGGCAAACTTGAAGGGCTGATGGCCTACTCCTGTTCCTATGTTTCTAGGAGAAACAAGGAAACAATTTTTCATACAGAA